TCTCTCTCTCTCTCTCTCTCTCTCTCTCTCTCTCTCTCTCTCTCTCTCTCTCTCTCTCAGGCACGGCATAAAATATTACGTAGCCGTTCTCTGTTCCTTGCATAGTAAGACATTTCAGCGAGGTATTTAGAGAGAATACAGTAATTAAAGCTTAGGGTTGCACACACGTAAAGTTTACCTTCGCACATTTTAGTTAAATAACAGTGTCATACACATTTGTTAAATAACAGTGTTGCATATATTTGTTAAATCAAAATACGCTTTTACCTTCCATTAGCGAAATAATGGTTTGTAATACACATTTTTAATAGAAAACAGAAACTCGTAAAACGTAATAAAATCACACGAATTTATTTGCTACGTTATTAGAAAATGTATGCTGCGAAATAATATTGTCTGGTTTACGTTAAATCAAATTACAGGACGCACGTGTGTGTTACCGGTGTAAGGTTTGCGGTATGAATATTGCAATTGTACGTGCACTCATTTCATAAAGCCAGTTACGTTCCGGTATAATCCGCCGGATAAAATTCGCATTGCTGATACGTGATACAAACCCGGAACAATTTCGCTTTTGTCGCAACATGTGACATTATCGACAAGCATCTAGAAACGCAATCGGCAGTTAAAATACTATTGGCAAACAAAATTTTGTTTGTTCGTAACGCGCATTCCGCCTACTTGCTCCGCAAGTCCGAATTCCAGGTCACGTCGTGTATGAAAATTTACGGAAATTTTGTTAGTTATAAATTATTATGCGACACGACTGCGCCTTTTTATCGATAAATACAATGCAATTTGCGGCGGGGACACTCTCGCGTCTCGTAATGAAGTTTTTATGGGACAAACTTACTTTACAGAGTAAAGAAAAGAAAAACTTAGCGGAAGAAGAGGATATATACCCCGGGGCACAAATCTTAAGATTAATTTAACTTCTGTCTCTGGAAATTGCGTATACGTATTTACTCAGCGCTACAAGAGAGAAAGAAGATCCTCTGTTCCTTTTACTAGTTTCGAACTCGCGCTCCTCGTGAATATAAGTGTGCTCGCGTGAAATGATAAGACATCGAAGTATCCGATCCTCGTAGATTCAAGATAAGTTTATTAAGCTTTAATAGCTCAAGCTCAAGTTACCGTCTATTATCCAATGACTCGAAACCTCTTGAGAGATATTCGATTATCACGCTTCGCGCCAAAGTTTCGATCCGCGACGAGTAAAATGGAGCTCTGTCACGCGACAATTTTCGCTCGTTTGACGAACTTTCGCAAACAACAGTTAAACATTCCTGAGTGAGACACCTTATTTATTATCTTTATTTGAATTCTCAAATAGAAAGAAGCGGGGCCTGCACTTTTCGTATTTATCCGATCCTATCAAAACGAGAAGAGAAAAGTAATACTTGCTGTATTTATTTGATCCTACTCATTGCCTTTCAGTATATAAGTTGCCTCAAGCAAGTAAAAGTGAAAATCCCAGGATACCTTATAGATTGTTTTTCTTCAAATTACTTAAACGGTTGGGTAATACGATCACGAACTTTCATTAAAAAAAAAAAAAGTTGAAACTCATTTGAGATGCGATAACACGACTCCCATCTTTGATAGAATAATTAGAAGTTTCGCGTCTGCACTGTCATCGCCGTAATTGAGCGGTTTCATTGATCGCAAAAGCATATAACGAGAAGATTTACCGTTGACTTAAGGGATCGCACGATATTAGAATGAAGAGAGAAGAAAATGAGGAAAGAGAGGCCGAATTCTTGGCATACATTCCGTTAAATGAGGTATCTGTCGCGAACTATGCCGAAAGTTCTTTCCTTAATTGTATCAGTTAGTTGACTAGTCCGAAACGCTGTGAGAGTTAATGAGATCTCATTTTCGAAGTTTGTTAGGTCATGAGTAAACAGGCATCCTCATAAGCGAAGAAATTTCTGCGAAGAAACGCATTTCGCGCGCAGTACAATTTCGCGCAAACTTAGATGTTGTCAGTTGTTTCATCGGCTCTTAATATTTGAAAAGTACATATTAAAATGTGATGTCGTTCCCTGAAATGATGCCGACTACAAACTCGATGACATAACTTTCCGCGATAACTTTCCGCCGAGTAAACTTCTTGCAGAATGCTTTCGCAATTAATCTCGGAAAATTGCAAACTATGTGTCGCTACGAAGTAGCGATTAATGAATTCGCAAAGCTCGATTAAAGCTCGAAGTTTCAAGAAAGAAATTATGTGTACAGGAAGGATAAAAAGGGGAATCAAATTTACGTTTAAATTCAGAAATTGTTGGTTCTGATTCATGCGTGAAATTTCCAAATTGGATCACTCGGTAACACGGATAACACGGATTGTACGGGCGAAAAACACGCTTGATAACACGATTCATCAACAATTCTACTGACCTGATAGAGGACGAACCATCGTTGTTGCCATTTGGTGGAGTCAGCTGTCCGTTTGTACAAATATCCTGACAACGAATGATCGTAATGTGCTTTCTCTGAGAGCATGATCAGCTGGGAGTCGTTTACCCTTACTGCAACATATCATAGGCAGACAACTCTTTTGAATGAAGCAATTAAAATCACCGGTGTATCATTGTTCATATTTTAAACGCGTAGCAAAAATGCAATTCGCGATATCGTACGAATTTTTCAAATATATTTCGTGAAATGAAATTTGTACAATTTTTTTTTTTTACAAATGAAAACAAAAATTTATTCTCAGATTTTCACGGAAATTTAATATCAATTGTACTGTCTCTCTAAAATATTCCGACACCTGATTTATCTCGATTAATCTCACTCTTTGTAATGAATTTGTGCTCAAAGTGTACTTATGAGTTTTACACTTTTCTGGGTGTATATTAATTATGTGAATTGTGATCTATCTGTTTACTTGCAAATCAGCACGACGTGTGTAAACACAAAATTACATCAGAATTGCAAAGTCACATATATGTGGGATATATCTACACATTTCACATAATACAAGTGCATTACAATCAAACATTGAGTTATCTCGCTATGCAACTGTTTCAATAATAGCGTTCAAAGTACCGGCGAATCTTGTTTGCCATATCGCATTAATGTAAATATTAATAATCGAGAATAAGCCGCGATGACAAACAGCGACAAATCTCGCCGTTCGTTTATTTGAACAATAACGAGTCACAAAATCCCGGTAATTAAAAACGCGCTGCCGCTCATTCGAGAAATGAGATCTAATGAAATTTTGCGAGAGCAAACAGGCGGGTAAAAGATCGCGTAACGATCCGAATACCGAGTCCGATCTGAATACTTTGATCGGATCGGACCATTGTGCCATTGGGGCGTCCGCTAGTTCCAGTTTCGACTAGATTTCGATCCGCGATGATGATACCATTCCTAGTTCTGGTCTGGTGTGAACTGCAACTTTGATTTAACTGCAGCTTCGCGAGTTTGCTCCAGTCGGCCGACGCCGAGCGAGACGCGAGTCGGCGTCGCAACTCGCGCGCGGTTATAGCCGTCGTTCCTTTCTCGTAAACTGTCGCGATCGCGTATTTAACTTTAGCACCAAGATACGTGACGTCTGAAGAAACTTTGTTCCGCTCGGAGAAATCGAGCCCAAAGTTTCCCAAAGAGAGAGACGGGAGACTCGCATAATCCGCACCTGCAATCTCCGCGCATGCACGGTTCGCCGCCTGAACGTGCGCCGCGTGAAAAAAGAAACGCGCAGGGGGATAGGGGTGAGAATGCGAGAATCGAAACAGCGACACCGCTCATTATATTTGTATTTATGTCCTGGTGCGAATGGAAAATCTAATCTTGATATTTCGCGGAAAATTTTTTCGGCAAACAATAGATTTGTGTGAAGCGAGCGCTATCGTAAATTTCGATGAGAGAGGGCAAACTTTCCAACGCAAATATTGTAGTTTTCGAGAACGGGGAGGGAGCACGAAACCTTTGATGTTGCGTGCTGCTCGCGCTTTTATATTTAATATATAAACCCGCAACAAAATACACTATTGTTTGTTGAAAGCAGTGAGAGCACCATCGGAAAGTCATACTGTGTCAGTGATTTTATAGATTCAGTACACGTGCCATGATTAAATGCACTTTGTGGTTGTGGATTAAATTAATGATGATTAATGCTCGCCGTATTTTCTGGAAATAGCTAAATAAATTGCTAAAATACGAATTTATGAAATGTAAAAATTTTGTCATATTTCGATTTCGTTAAACAGCATTAAACAGCAATGTGCATATTCGAATATTAAATGTTACAATACAATATTGATCACGAGAAAGAGAATTATCTTTTACGAAAAATATAATACATAAATTCGTAATTGACGTCATTCTGTCCGATGTTTATTTTTATTTAATGATTTAATGTTTCAAATAAATACAATAACAGTCTTTATTTCGAATCAGTTTTCGAAATTTTTGTGTGTGTGTGTGTGTGTGTGTTGTTTCCCTATTTAATTTTTTTATTCATCACACAACACATGTTATAGTTACGGTCTTTGTTTATTACAAAAGTGACAAAGAACAAGATATATCTTACCAGTTTTTTGCATTTTGGGACTGAGCATGATTGCAGGTCGTTACTAGAAGGGCGTCTCCCCCACAGTTGATCTTCACAGCGGTGATTGATTGTCCAAATTACCTTGTTTGGGTTCTAATAGCGTAGAAAAAAACTCTGTCTTGTGCTACACGTTAAGCATCGAGGATGTATCTCGATCGATTTTGAAGACGTTCACGCAGATTCATCGGTAGCCATGTCGCTGCATCTGCAAATACGGGAAAGGAGTTCAATAAATAGGACGTAGTACGAGCGAATCTTTATGTCGATAAAATAGTTAATTTCAAACCGCAGCGTTGCCATCACTATGCCTGATTCATGGACATAAATATTGTTGACATCATTAATACCTATTAATATATTTATCGTTATAGAAACATATACTGATGTCCGATTTAGCTATATTCCCGCGACGAGGTATTATCGAGTTTCAACATAGAAACGGTCCAATAACGTTAATTTGTATAAATCAGATGGATCATTAATTCGTAATAAGTAAATATTGTTTAGCAAAACGATGCGATGTAACCGAAATTACTCGTATCTCTGAACAAATATCGAAATTAAACGTATTGATATCCCGCGTGCTCGGGCTACATAAATATACGCTGAAGCGCAGTAATGCCATTTTAATTATAATTGGATCAGAAATATATAAAATTGAAATTAATTTCCTAAAACGCAGCAATGTTTATCTAATTCTAAATTCCGACCTCGTCCATTTTACAAGCCGCGTTTCCGACCTGTTGACTCACTTATATTATATTATATCGGGACCGTTTGTTTTACATACTGTCTTTAGCTCATAAAAGCAAACGCGCGCGAAAGCCACTGTGAGCAGGAAATTGAAGCGATGGCATATGCAAGGACTGCGGAAATAAGATCCAAAGCTGTTTACGATTGAAATCAATATTCTCGAATATTTAATAGCTACGACGGTATGATAACCAATGATAACCTAATGGTTCGTAATCGTAATGATGGTAATTGTAATGATTCCAGCTGATTGCAAACTGATATTTCAATGATTTTTTTTAATGCTTTTTAAATTTTGTATTTCTGATCGGATATTAATCCTTATTTCGAGACAGTGATCTGTTAGAACACGTTTTTTCTTGCTTTGATTATATTAAGATTAAGTTTATCTTAGATAATAAATATTATTTTTATTTAATAAAAATTTTTATACGGGATATGAAATTAAGTTGCATTATTATTCCCTTAAAAGCACATATTGTTTTTTTTTAGAAAATCCTTAGAAAACTTAGAAATAAAATCTTCTTTAACTTTTTACTGCCGCCTTTTATTCTATATATAAAATATCACAATAGAAGAGTGGGAGGAAAGTAGACAAACTTTTTTAAATAAAATCATAGGATTTCTCTTACATAAATTAGTACATCCTCGTTATTTTGTATACAATCGTATTAAGATTATAAAGAAATGAATATTTTATAAAGATATTATTTCATTTTTTTTATTTCTTTTTATTTTGTGATACATTTTGGTATAGATTATAAGACTAAACAAGATTCACCTTTAGATCTTATTTTTGTAAAATGATGAGAAGCGATCAGCGTAAAAAGAGACATAGCTGTAATTGTAAGAAAAAAACAATTGCATATTGCATTACTTTGGTACCTATGTGCAAAGAATAGTCATCAAAGGTAAAAATGAATACTTTATACAAGATATTTTAGAATAAAAAATAAAATATCTTCTTATTATTATGAAAAATTATAAAACAATATATATTTTGTATTATATTAAAATATTATACGTATATATAGATAATATTTTTATTTAAAAAACCTATAATAATACTCTATATATATACAAAAAAACCTCAATAAATCTCAATATATTAAAAAAGGATTTTGTTATTATCTTCAATAATTCGCAAGAAAATAGTTATTAACTTTTAATTTTACAGTCGATTATTTTGATTATATCTTTATTTTTAGAGTATATATAATAATTTTCTATGGAAATAAAGTAATTTCTGTGATCAAAATTATCTATATTTTTTAATATCTTATGGTTTATAAATACTGCTGCATTTATTGTGTCGTCAAAATGATTAAAGTAGGAAGAGATTCGCATGCAGTCTGTTTACGAGTGAAAATATACTGAATTATAACTTTTTATTTAAAGCTCGTGAGACGCGTGTAACTCTAGGAGTTTTCCGATAAGTATGCTCAGCGATACGCATCCATTTTTTTATAACACTTGCCAGATATACCATTTTAAAAATATCTCATTATATTTTTCGCTTTTATAATCGATTATCCTATTTGTTATTATTCTATTTGTTTGCTGATTTTTGTAATTGAAAGATTTTAATTATTTCATCTTTACATCTGAACTTATCCGAAAACGCGATCGTCCACCATCCCTAATCTCGGAGCCAGCAAGAAGAGAAGGAAGGGAAAATATGCATGTGTGTGTGTGTGTGTGTGTGTGTGTGTGTGTGTGTGTGTGTGTGTGTGTGTGTGTGTGTGT